CATGATTGCTGGCTGGGAATCGGTTGCATTAGGCCCGGCGGTTTGCCGCCTCTCGGTTCGAAGCTTTGGCAAGAGTGGCAGGTGCGGGCATAACGGAAAACGTCCCGTTTCATGCCCGGCCAGGTGGCGATGCGACATAACTTTGAGTAAGTCTTGGAGCCGCTCGCGTGTCCAGCTAAGTGCGAGTCGTGATAGTAGCACAAAACTGTGTTTCTCAGACTGCGGGGTACCACTACCTTGAACGCCTCGTCGGAGTCGTTCTCGGAGGGTATGTACCTCAGCAAGAGCCCGTCATTGCTCAGCAGATATGAATCCTCCGTGCCCGCACCAATACCAGATGCGTCCCGGCACTCGGCGCCTACTACAATACCAGTAGTGTTGCGCCCGGCGGTTGCATTGCCCGCCTCCACGGCGTCCGACTCTTCCGCGAGTCCGTCGATCACCTTTCGACAAAACGGATCATTCTGCTGGGCTTTCAGAAGCTCTTCTTTGCTGAACACAATTCCCACTGCGCTCACTGCGTCTAGGTGGTTGATCGTCTCGTCCGGGGTGGTCAGATCTGCTGCCTCCCTTTGGGACTGAGTCACGGCTTCGCCTGGCACTGTGAGTGTCGTTGGCTCGGCCTGGGTGTTTGCGGAAATCTGTGTGCAGTCTACGGGGGCGCGTGACAATGCGTCCACCACCACGTTTGTGCTGCCTTTCCGGTACCGCACGACATAGTCGTATTTTTGCAACGTCAAAGCCCATCTTGTCAAGCAACCAGCGGGTTCGCGAAGTCGGGAGAGCCATATTAGGCTTTGGTGATCTGTTTCGATCACGAAAGTGGTCCCGTCGACATAAATGTCAAAACGCCGGAGTGCGAAGACGATGGCCAAGCACTCTTGTTCGCATGTGCTGTAGTTCCTTTCAGCTAACGTCAAAGAGCGGCTGGCGAAGGCCACCGCTCGGAGTACACCTTCGTGCTGTTGGAGCACGACCGCGCCCAAGCCCAGATTGCTGGCATCTGTTTCGATCAGAAAGGGCTTGTTCAAGTCGGGTAGCTTGAGTTCAGCTGTGTCCGCGAGCGCTCGGGAGGTGCGGCAAAAGGCCGCTTCCTGCTCGGGACCCCAGCTCCAACTCACGGACTTTCGCAATAGGCATGTCAGTGGTGCTTGAAGCGTCGCGCAGTTTGGGATGAATTGGCGATAGAAGTTCACCATTCCCAGGTAGCGACGGAGGGAGCTCACGTCGGTTGGCGCGGGAAACTCCAGGATTGCCTGTAGCTTGTCGGGATGTGTCGCAAGGCGCCCGCGATCAAGTTTGAACCCGAGCAAGGCAATGTGGGTTTCGGCTATTTGGGCCTTTTCGGGGTTCAGGGTCATTCCCGCGGCTTTTAGCCAGTCGAGTACGTCCTCGAGATGACGTAGGTGATCTTCGAAGGTGTTGGAGTAGACGACAATGTCGTCGAGATAGGCCATTGCGTGTTTCTATTTGGCTTCTCCCAGTACTCAGTCGATCAATCGCTGGAACGTCATAGGCGTTCCGCACAGACCGAAGGGCATTCGCGTGAATTCGAAAAGCCCGCGGTGACAACAGAAGGCTGTTTTTGCCTCGTCACCTGGCTCCATCCGAACCTGGAGGTAGCCTCGGCTAGCGTCCAGGGTGGTGAAGTACCGCGCACTGCCCAAGTTGGACAGAATCGAGTCGATGCTCGGTAGCGGGTAGGCGACCTATCGTGTTGACGTCGTTTAGACGGCGGTAGTCCACGCAAAGACGTGAGCTGCCACCTTTCTTCGGGACCAACACCACAGGGAATTCCCAGGGGCTGTTAGATCGCCGGACAACTCCGGCGTCGATCATTTCGTCCAGGGCACGGTCGATGGCTTTTCGTTTAGCCAAGCTTACGGGTCGCGCGTTCTGCCTTCTTGGCAGTTCGTCGCCCGTGTCAATGCGATGTCGCACTTCGTTTGTGCAGCCCGGTCGGTCCGTGAACATTGCGTCATAGCGGCGCAACAACGACGACAGTCGGGCTTTTCCTCGCCCTGACACGCTGCATGATTGCGTGAGCAGTGGGTGCGTCATTTTCCCGATGGGGGCGGCGCTCGCTGCCATCGGCGCTGGACTCGGTGTCTTGGGGTCAATGATCCGGTTTGGGGAGTTCGTCGTTTCCTCTCGACGGCTCGTCGCGTGAGCCAATGGTGGCGTTGGCGGTACGGCCGGGGGTTCGCAGAAGGGTTTCAGGGGTGCAAACGTGCACTCCCGATGGCCTGCGCTGCTGACGTCGATTACAATGCCTGTTTTGGCAAGGAACTCTCTGCCCAAAATAATGGGCACCGATAGGCCAGGGAGATGAACGAAACGTTGTCGACTTACTCGATTCTCCCATCTCGCGACCAGCCGCACGGTACCAGCCGAAAGGGCGGTTCCGCAGGCTAGGCGAAAGGCAGTGTTGCATTCTCGGAGTCGGACAGAATTTTGTCGAAGGTGAGTCAAAACTTCGTCGCCGAACATCGAAGCGCTTGCTCCGGTGTCAAGGAGTGCCTTGAACGGCTTGCCGGCGATCGTTACAGAAATGAACGGGGCCGGCGTACAGGTCGGGAAGCCTATTCTGTAGGCGGTTGGTAAAAGAGTGGCCATGGGACCCTCCGATTCTTTGTTAGCCACCGGTCCGTCCGTCGAAGGGCCGTTGACCGGTGGCTTTGCTCGTTTCCCGCACGGTGCGATTCCGTGTTCGGCCGTTCCGGGCACTGGCAAGCGAGATGATCGGGGCGATTGCACCGAAAACATCTTTTGCTGTCGCCTCGCCGGGGGTTCCGCTGTGCGTTTTGGTTTTGGCCGGCTCTGTCGTAGCGTGCATCGGCTCGCTGACCTTGAGAGAGCCTCGTTTGCTCCTGCCTCGCTGCCTCGTTGGGGCGCGAGTCGGTGGTTCTGAACTGCGGCGTCGGCCGGCTTGTTCGTCTGCCGTAGGGGTACGGGTCGAGCACACGATCTGAGATTGCGTACGTATCTCGCCCCGATCTTCCGCATAGTTTGCGGAATCGTAGCGCCTCGGTGTTCGAGATGGCGTGTCCCCGCTCCACGTGCAGCGCAGTTCGAGGGCCGCTGACGCTGGAGGCGGAGGCCGGTACGCACGGGCAGCAAGAATGTCTCCCTGACGGCGCCGAGCCTCGGAGGCAAGCTCGTTCAGGTCGCGGAAACGACTGCCTCGAAGATACGCAGCGAAAGTCGAGTGGCTTTGGCGTATGACGCGTTCCACTCGCTCTGCATTGGGAGCTGAGGGTTCCGCGAGCTCGAAGAGCTCTTGCATGGCTCGTACAAACTCCAGCAGGGACTTGTCCGGATGCTGGGTTCGCTGTTCAAGCTCCTGCCGCATCCTTCTCTCGTAGCCGGCGGGAAGGAATTCGCGGCGGAACGCCTCTCGGAACTGATTGAGCGTTCCGGGTTGGTCACCGACAAGTCGGAACCAGCGGGCGGCTTCGTCGACGAGCGCGATTGGCAGAATGCGCTCAAATATTTCACGATCGGACATTCGCATTGCGCGTTGGTACTTCCATAAATCGTCAAGGAAGTCCGTAGCGCTCGCTTTGTCTGCATAACCCCGATAAGTCGGGACGGGAATTTGGACCGGAGGTCGTTGGGCCTGTGGTGCGAGTGTTGTCGTTCGCAACGCACCTGTCAGACTCTCAATCACACGTGCCGCGTTTTCGAGCAAGGTGTGATGAGGCGCCGCAGCGGTTTCTCCGTGGGGAGACCGGTAGGCTTCGCTTTGTGCCAGCGGCGGAGCACGTGCGTTCAGGGAAGATCCGGGAGTGATGGCGCGCGTCCGCAATGGCGTCGGAACCACGCTCGGCTCCAAGGGTGCGCCGTAGGGCGCTTCTCGTTGGAGGGCTGGCATTCCGGTTTCTCGTTGAAGTAGGGGCCGCGCGAATGCGTCGGCCGCGGTCGCCAGAGGGAGCAAATTTGAGAAGTCGGTCTGCATCGTCACGGTAAGCACTGGTTGCGCGAGGACTCGTCACTCGGCAGCGGTCGCCACACACAGACGTACCAGGATTCTGGTCGTCGGCCCTTTTGTTGGGCGCCAAATTGTGGTTCTCCTTTGGGCCACTGCCTTTGGGAGTACCACGTTCGCGGCGAGACGCTCTACTGCGAAGCAAGTTCGTACTCGCGTGGCATGCTGCTCGTTGAGCGCAAACAGACACCAGTCACGTTGATAACGGTGAGAAACTCTGTTTATTTACAATGAAACAAAAAGAAAACAACGGCTATAAGCTGGTGAACGCCGTCGGTGTGGAGATCGCCCACGGCCGAACGGTCGTTCACAAAGATACAAAGGACGGGGTAAACGCTCACCAGTGCACCGGACGGTTCCCCGTTGTTGCCGCCGCCGAATCCCAGGAAGAAGAGCGGAGATACTGCTGTCCGCTGGTTTTAAGATAACGGCGGGGGCGAAGTGGCCAATCAAGGAGCGACACGTCGATCTCCTTTGTGCAGGGGTTCGTTACGGAAATCGCCCCAAAGGGGGAGAGGAGGAAGCCACTCACAGTGGTAAGCAGCGCCACCTCTCGCTACATCGGCGCGGCCGCCACGGTGCGCCAAAACGCTGACGCGACAGAATGTTGAGGGATCACAATCCCCACACCCTGTAAGAACAAGTTATGAAGCATCAACATAATAACGTCATGTGCTGCATATCAAGCCATCTGTGACTATAACTGTTGAAATATAGTACATGTAAGACCACAAACAAGTTTGTAAGTAGCAGAAGCTAATGACACCTCAATTAAAAAAAAAAATAAAAAAAAAAAATAACTTTTTTTTTTTTTACAAACAAAGTTTTTGCTAAGACTTTTGTAAAAGAAAGCACTTCCAAAAGCTAGCCTACGAGCGGAGCGGTATGCGAGGTCAGGTCTCGGCAGGCTTTTCTTCCTGCAACCTTATCCAAGATGCTTTTTCAAGCAGGCCCGCCCTCAAGACGACCTTGTTCCGTAAAAAAAGAAGAGCAAGGAAGCAGCAGGCACAACCTTGTTCCTCGCCAAGACGTCGGCATCAAACTGCACCAACAGCAGGGCCATGTCGGGTTGGCCCGTGGAGAGAGCCAGGTGCAGAGCCGTGTCGAGGTTCTGGTCGGGGACGTCGGGGTTCGCCCTCTGCTCGAGCAGACACCTCACCACTTCCCGGTGTTGACCTTCCACAGCCTAAAAAGAGAGAATTGATGCATACTGAAATATCTATATTTTTTTTTCCCTTCTTCTAAGTGGAATGCTTTTATGAACCGGTTTCCAAGTTTGTAACATCACGACACACAGTGACGTAAGTGATGTCGAGCGCCGGGGTCACGGGTTTGGTGTCGCGTTCACTCGAGTTTGCGGGCAAATATTGTGCGTTGTGCTCTAAAAGACGCTCAATAAGCCTCCGTTCTGCATAATTTGGAGTTTATATGTAGGGTCCAGATGAAAGAACCGAGGAAACGATGGAGCACGGCTGTGGCAGCTGCACTGCAGTGGCAACAGATGTGCTTTTACAAGCAGGTGGCTAATGTGTGATGGCCATCTGTTCACTTCTTTTCTCTGAAATGGAGCTCGCCAAATTGAGCTGCATGTTGGATCTGAGCTTGCTTCGTTGGACACGATTCTCTGCGGTACGGTTGCGCACCGCTGAAAAATGCGGTTATCTAATGCAGGAAATCGTGGGGAGGTGGAGCCCTTATCAATACACCAACTTGACTCTGCTACATCACGCCAAAGTTGTGGTGCTTCGGGCAAACTCCTGGTCTAGGGCTGAGGGCAGAAGTCGCTATGCGGGACGGGCATTATTGCATTGTTTTTGAAGAAACAAGAATGAAACCTGCCTCCTCGTCAAAATGTCGAGACTGGCGCTGTACCAAAAGAGCCGGGAAGGGTGTAAAGATCAGTTTTCGTGTGTTTTCCGCTTGCTCGGTTCATCAAAGAATGTGGATAGGTGCAACAAAAAGGGAACACCAGACACCGTCGAACCACGAGTGCTTGTGCGGGAAGTACTTTGGGTTGGATGCACGGACACTTGTGGTTGTCAGATCTATTGTTTTGTTCTAACATGATCACGGGAAAACAGTCAAGTTGTCCAGACTACCCGCAGACCACGTTCAGTGCGTTTTCACGTTCAAACGGCCGCCTGATCATTCAGACTGTCTTCTGCTCTTTCAAACTCGTCTGCTTGTTCAAACTGTTGTCTCCTCGTTCAAACAACAGCAGCTTGTACACCAAACATTTACCCAGTAATTGTGATCAGAAGTAAGTGTGGGCCTCAAAAGACTTTTAAGTTTGAAGGTTGTTCGGGGTAAGCATGCTCGGTGTAAGCAGTAGATGCAAGGATCATGTTGATAATTGTTACCAGTGGCCATCACCGACTTGTTTTGCCTGATTCACTCGGTCCAATTCTCCTTGTGATTTTCAGTATTGACGTTGAGCATTGCAGCTATCGTTCACGCATCTTCTGCATCCCGAAGGACGTCGTGACTGAAAATAGTGAGCAGAATCTCATTATGTGAATCAGGCTTTAGCGCCCATTCTGCGGCATCCACGTTTAATGAATCATCACAGTGTAACGAGCCTTGTTAATTTCACTCAGGCCACTAAAGTAGTAGTAGTAAGGCATTGCTAGGAAGATGTCGAATGAACAATTGCAATGCAGAAAAGAGCACATTGGAATTGTTGAGAAAAGAGGCTAACACCGATGCCGACAACATCACATTCTAATGGTTTGTTGATGCGGGATGCAGCGCTTTGTGCCCACATGCCATCATGCATGCGTGGCACCTGTGGCATGGCACTAGGGGTGCTCAGGCTTACATGTAAACATGAATTTGTGTATAGCCACATTCGAGTAAAAGATGCATGATATTTGTATGCCGCATTTGCAACAAGATGATAGCTGTGTCAGTGCTTGTACTTCTACTTCATAAGTTTAGAATTAAAGCAATCATATCAACACATGCATGTGCATTTGGTATATTGGTAGAACCAGATGATACAATAGTGTGCAGATAGAGGAAGCATCATTCCTAGGGGACAAGCAAATAATTATTTGTTGCAAGATTAAAAAAAAAGAAAGAAAATATCAGTTTGCTTAAACAAAGGTAGCACCTGCATCACTAATTTGACAAAGGATCATCTGAGAATGCATTGAATCAGCAGCTGGTGCACCCATCTGTTAACTAATAGCTTAATGACCGGTGAATGCAGCTAAAATCATTCCCACGTTCAAGCGAAATCAGCCCCAAATGGCTGTTCTTATCAAAACGAAATGCCCGAGAGGCAGCAGGCTTGCTCTCAGGCAGTTCAGTGATGCTCCCTTTATACGGGGTTTTCCTACACCTACTATAGCTGCCCCATGAAATGGCTTATTTGTGATTACTTATTTATATTTAGAGTTAGGTGCACTACCTCTCAGACAATTATAGGAGAGGCGGATTAGAAACCCTTTCTTTGGCCTTTTGGAGCCTTAAAGAGACACTGACAGGGTATTTATGCTCGCAGAGGTTTTTAGTTGTACGTGACATACGAGAACCCAACTACCCAAAACAGAACCTGCGGCTCAAAATTCGGTTTCCTTCCGCCCGAAAATCGCCCATTGAGAACTGGCTGGTTTGAGTCGCGCTCACTCTCTTCTTTGTGGTCACAGGCTGTTTTCTAAGGTTTAGACACAACCACTTAATTTAATCAAAGCCAGGGGTCATTGAAGGCACACATACACACTCAATATTAAAAATTAAAAAAAAGATGAAACCCATTTTTTGTGGCTTTTGAAAAACGGCAAATACGTTGATTGAAAAAAAAAAAGTTGCACGGATAACCAGAAGCATTCTGCGCGTTCACCGCATTCTCAACATGGCGTTGTATTGCGTATCGCGGGACTCGCGGGCTGGACAGCGATAACGGCAAACAACAGCAGTAGGACCCTACAGAACTGTCGCTCGCAGTACCAGCGAATTTGTCTTCCTTCGAAAGAGAACACACCCGACCACCAATCCGATTCGCACAAAGACGTCGCCGAGTCATCGCCTCTTCTCGTGGCTAAAAATATCACTCAAGCAGTTGTCCCCTATTGGGTCTCGCATAAAACAATTTGTAAAAACGAATATTCAGAGCTGTAAAGTAGCTCAGTGGAAAGGTGTCCGCTTCACACGCAGCGGACCCAGGTTCAATCCCGCAATGTAAAAAACAGTTTTTTTCTTTCTATTTTTTTTTTAAGCATTTTGCGATATTTACGCATTTCTTTTGTACAATTATCACTAGGAAAAAAGAAAAAGCCTGGACGAAACGTTGGTGAACTAAATGGTATGGGGCTCCCTTTTTGACACCTGCAAACTCAATGCAGTCACTTTCCACAAAGTGCAATGAGCATACAAACCGGGTAGCACCCAGCTTCCGAGATGCCCGTAGCTGTTCTGGCAGAATTACAGCCAGCCATTGGTCCCAATCCCGTTGATCTTTCGGAAACTTGTGCAGACTCTGTTGCACAATGCCACTTTTGGATGCAGAACCTTTGAGGCAGCTCTTCACGCAACATCTTGGGGGCATTCTTTTCGGAGACGATTACGGGCATTCACCACGGGCACTCACTACTCATTTCCAACTCTTCGATGTACAAAACAACTCATCTTGAAGTGCAGAACAGCCGGAAGAACAAACATAATTGCAAAGCAAGCACATGGCAAACAATACACGCAACAATGTAATGTCGTCTGTTGAACGCAACCAAAAAAAAACGGAGGGGAAAAAAAAAGAAGAAAAGTGCGGTCGGGTGTAGCTATGTGACTTCCGGCACACTCTCCTCATTATTTCTCCGACCTCCGTGCGCAGGTTTCCGTTTCGAGCAGTTGCGTTTCTTGGCTTTTGTTAAAAATATATGTGACTCTGTAGTAAATTATTAATTGGGTAGTCTTCTGATACCATATAAAATTGCCTGGCTAAAAAATGAAAAAAAAATTTTTTGGAGGGTGTCAGTGTCCCTTTAAATATATTTTCTCAAAGACAGCACAACAAGTTATGGAATAAAAATGTAATAATTGGGATCCAATTTAAAAAAAAAAAAAAGCAATGAAGGGGAACATTACATTGAATGCAAAGTGTACAAGCATAACCTTCCAATCTTCCATGCATCAGTAGTTGCCTACGTTAGCACAATTTTCTCATGAGAATCGCTGTCTTCGAAAGCCATGCAATTCCCACAAAGTCAACCACAAAGAACCACTACTTCCTGCACAATCCCTTCACCAGAGTAACTTAAAATGCATCTTGTAGATCAATAGGTGAGCTGAAAGAAGCACAACTTTGCAGACATGTTTTTAGGCAGTGCTTCGATGGCAATAATTTCACAAAAACGTATTCCTGCAACCAACAGTTTGAAACAAGATACTCGTAACGTCTACACGCTCGGCACCATCATTACACAAAAAAAGATATCAGAGCACGACAAGAAGAAAAGGTGACTGAACGGCTCCAAGCGCTTCGTCGCAACAAGTGCCCCTATATGGGCCCTTCTCCACGAGGTGACGGGACAGACTGGCGTCTGGTAGCGCTCAGTGCACAGCTACGTTGCTCTTCATCTCAAAGCTCAGAAGCATGCATTAATAGGATATTGAACTGAACTAAAACCAAAAAGAAAGCTCTCTTTTTCTGCAGACCGGAACTGAACCAAACCACTACAATTCTGCTCATTCAGGAGCAGAAACTTAACAAGCTTTCCAGTGTTTGCTTCAATGAGAGAAATGCGGCGTGTGCAATGAATGTCTCGAAAAGCAGTGTAACACATACATTTCTGTGTATTCATTGAAAAGCTATGTCCTCTGGAGCCTCACCTTGAAAGCTAACTTTTAAAATAGAACATGCTAGAAAATATTTCTGTGCAGAAGTTTGTTTTTTGTGGATGCTGTGGAGAATGATCAATTGGTAACATCATACTGTGCTATTTTGTTCTTGTTTTGCTAGTTCTATAAGGTATTTCTGACATGACTGCTGGAAAAACCACAAGACGGCAAAAGCCTTTTCTATTTCTGTATTTTGATTATAATTTGTATGCATACCATATATTACTTTTTTTTATTATTGATATGCGAGGAATAATGCGATCAAGTGTCGGTTTTATGAACTGGCTTTTTGATGAGCATATCTTATATACAAACTTACATTTTTCTATATTTTTAGTGATAGAAAAC